GAAGCATCAGAAGTGCCTTGGTTTTGCTAACCCTAACTCTGCCCTCCTCCTCTAGGAGGGTGCAAGTTGGGAACCCTCCTAGAGGAGGAGATGAAGTGCCTGAGGGCCGAGAAAGCAGCCCCACTCCAGACAGAGGATTGAGCGAGGGGCCACGGGAGGAACAGCCGGGGGGACACGGAGGCCTGTCACCCACAGGAGGGGGAGGCCAGCACGGCCTCCTCCTCCTGGTGCCGATCGGGAGCTGGGAAACAGGTTCTCTCCGCTTGGGGAGGCTGGGGCTGACGAGGCCTCGGGGGACCAGCAGGACCCCCAGCCTGGGACCACTAGCGGCAAGGGGGCCGCTGCAGGAGAGGCGAGGGCCAGGGCACGGCCGCCGGTGATTGTCGTCGGGGTCCCCTGCTGAGGGGCACTGAGGTGGCGGTGTGCTGCCCTGACCTTGAGGCGAGGGAGGTCTGCTGCCTGCCGGGCGCACGCATCCGGCATGTGAAGGACAGAGTGGAGCGTCTTGTTCACTCCGGGGGTCACCAGCCGCTCCTGATGATCCATGTGGGGACAAATGACGTGGCCAGGCAGGGTGTGGGCGGGATCACCAGGGACTTCGAGGCCTTGGGAAGAAACTCAGGGAGCTAAAGGCCCAAGAGGCCTTCTCATCCATCTTACCGGTCCAGGGATTTGGGCCATGGAGAAGAGGAGACTCGGAGGGGATCTGTTGGCGACATGCAGATATGTGAGGGGATGTCACATGGAGATGGGTAGAGACCTGTTCTCCCCTGCTGAGGAGGGCAGGACACGCTCCAACTGAGCAAAGCTCAGGGAGCCAAGGTTCAATTTGGATGCCAGGAAGCACTTCCTGACAGTCAGGACCCCGAGGGTGTGGAATGGGCTTCCATGGGAGGTGGTTGAAGCCCCATTGGTGAGGGTGTTTGAGGATAGGCTAGACATGCACATGGTGGGCATGTCATGAGCACAGCCAGCTAGAGCCAGGGATCAGACTAGATGGCCCAGAAGGCCCCTTCTGACTCGCTCTTTCTGTTTCTACCCTGGATTTCCCCCATAACCCTAAAATAGCAGGGGACACAGACTGTGTGTGTGCACTAGACCTCCTCTGTCAGGGGGCACCAGGCTGTTCCCCAGTAAGCGACTGAGACTGAGTGCAGTGCTTCTGTGTGAATGTATTTATTTATTTAATTTATTTGGAGCTTTTATATGCCATCCCATCGCTTAACGCCTTGGGACGGCTTACATACATAAACATAGACAACATAGTGCCCAATACAAATACAAAAAATACAAATTGCACAAATTAAAAACCCCGATTCATTCTGGCTGGAAGTTAAAACATATAGATAATATTAAACATTGTTAAAATATTGTTTAAATAAAAAGGTCTTAGCCGAAACAAATAACGAAAAACAAAATAATGAAAAATTAGCCGAAAAACAAATAACGACGGCGCCAGGCAGCCCTCTCGGGGGAGCGCATTCCATAGAAGGGGTACCACCGCAAAGAAAGCCCTTCTCTGGGTACTCACCCTCCTAATATCTTTCACGGAGGGTTCCCCGAGGAGGACCTCTGCCATTGATCTCAAGGGGCGGGAGGGCAATTATGGCCACAGGCGTTCCTTTAGGTATCCAGGTCCCAAGCCATTAAGGGCTTTGTAGGTGATAACCAGCACCTTGAATTGAGCCCGGACTTCGATGGGGAGCCAGCGAAGCTGGAAGAGGACTGGGGTTATGTGAGAGTAACGCCCAGTCCCTGTCAGCAACCTGGCTGCTCTATTTTGCACCATCTGAAGTATCCGGACTGTCTTCAAGGGCAGCCCCACGTAGAGCGTGTTACAGAAATCCAATCAGGAAGTAAACCAATGCATGCATCACTGTTGCCAGGCAGTCGTCCTCCAGGTAGGGACGCAGCTGATGGATTAGCCGAAGCTGAAGCAAAGCACTCTTCACCGCCACAGTCACTTGAGCTTCCAAGGACAGCTCCAGGTCGAGGAACACTCCCTCTGAAGGACAGGGTCCAAGTCACCCACCCAGGAACTCGAACCACCCACCAACAGGACCTCCGTCTTGTCTGGATTGAGCTTCAGTTTATTGGCCCTCATCCAGCCCATTACCTTGGCCAGGCACTGGTTCAGTACAGCCTCTGCCTCACCTGGATTGATTGAAAAAGAGAAGTAGAGCTGGGTATCATCAGCGTACTGATAATTCTGCAGCCCACACCTCCTGATGACCTCTCCCAGCCGTTTCATGTAGATGTTGAATAGCAAGGGGGACAAGATGGACCCCTGCAGTACTTCATGGCATAGCTGCCATGGCGCAGAGCCACAGTTCCCCAGCACCACCACCTGGAATCGGCCATTGAGATAGGAGTGGAACCACTGCAAAGCAGTGCCTCCGACCCCCAATCCCGCAAGCCTATCCAGAAGGATACCATGGTCGATGGTATCGAAAGCTGCTGAGAGGTCCAGAAGAACCAACAGGGATGCACTCCCTGTCTCTCTCCCTGCACAGGTCATCGTACAGGGCGACCAAGGCAGATTGAGTACCATACCCGGGTCTGAAGCCGGACTGAAATGGGTCCAAATAGTCAGTCTCATCCAAGAGTGCTTGGAATTGTCCCGCCACCACCCACTCCAACACCTTGCCCAAAAACGGGATGTTGGCCACCGGTCTATAATTGGCAGCCATCTCTGGATCCAGGGACGCCTTCTTTAGGACCGGCCTGACCACTGCCTCCTTTAGAGGTACAGGCACTCGCCCGTCCCTCAGAGAGGCATTAATGACCTCCAGGATCCAGGCACCAATCCCGTGTTTGACTTTGGTCAGCAGCTACGACGGGCAAGGGTCAAGTAAACAGGTGGTGGGACATACTTGTCCAAGCACCTTGTCCACATCATCAGGCCGCAACAACTGAAACTCATCCAACAATATGTGACCAAATGGTAACATTGGCACCTCCCCTAGAAAATCTGAATCACTGGTGGAGTCCAGCTCGTGATGAATCTGAGCGATTTTCTCCTTAAAGTGCTGGGCAAAGTCGTCACAGCGGGCTGTTGAGGGAGGTACGGGATCTTTTTTGGGGCCTGAATGAACCAGCCCCTGTACCACCTGAAAGAGCACCACTGGCCGGCATTGTGAGGAGGCAATGGAAGTGGAGAAGAATTTCTTCTTCGCCGCCCTCACCGCCACAGCATAGGCTCGATAATGAGCTCTCAAGTGTGTTTGGTCAGATTCATCCCGTGATTCCTCCACCTACGCTCTAGACATCTCCCAACCTGCTTCATCGCCCGTAGTTCAGGTGTATACCATTGGGATGAATGGGCTCTGTCAGACGGGAGAGGACGCTTGGGAGCGATCGTGTCAATAGCCCTGGTCATTTCTCCATTCCACAGTTCGACCAGAGCATCGACAGGAGCGCCAGCTTAATCAACCGGAAACTCCCCCAGAGCCTTCAGGATTCCATCCGGATCCATCTGGCTCTGAGGGCGGACCAACACAATAGGGTCCGCACCCTTACAGAGGGAAAGGCCGGCATCGAGCTCAAACCTCATGAGGAAGTGGTCTGACCATGACAGGGGAGTCAGACATAAATTGCTCACCCTCAGATCACCCTCTTCCTGCCCTGTCGAGAAAACCAGGTCCAGAGTGTGTCCACATTCATGGGTTGGGCCAATGAGATGTTGAGACAGCCCCATGGCCATCGTGGAGGCCATGAAGTCCTGAGCCACCCCAGTCAGAACCATCTCGGCATGGAGATTGAAGTCCCCCAGGACCAGCATCCTGGGGGTCCTCAACACCAGGTCCGAGACCATCTCCGTCAGCTCAGGCAGGGAGTCTGTTGGGCAGAAGGGTGCACGGTACACCAGCAGAATCCCCAATCTGTCTCGGTCGCCCAATGCCAAATAGAGGCACTCTAGACCCGGCCTCGAGAGAACAGGAAGCCCTGCGAGGGAAATTGAGGCTCGCTAAATCCAAATATTCATTCTTTCTGGTCCTGAAATCGAGATTTCCTGACAAGACCCAGCTGCCCAAACCGTGGCTCTTGCGCCTTGCGGTGGCCTCCTTTTTGACTTGGAGACACTGACTTTAATCACCATTCAGGTGTCCACGTGCCTGAAGCTTGCAGGAGCCTCCTGAACTGCTAGGAGGCAGCTTGCCCTTCCCTGTGCGGGAGCCTTCCGCCTTGGAAGCAGGCCGATGGCTCCCTGGGGGTGAGCTCCGGGCTGCATCAGGGCAGAGGCCGCGTTCAGCGGAACGAATTGGGACGCTTGGGAAGAGGGAGGGAGGGAGGGAGGGGAGAGGCGTTGCCAGGAGGGCAAAAAGTGGCAGTGAAAGGGCCGCTCTACGCACCCTCGGGGGAAGGGGCAGCACCCGCGAGGCTGAGGGGAGAATTTGGCCCCAGCGTCGTACTAGCCACACTTTCCTGGGACTAAGCCCCATTGCACTGAATGGGGCTTACTTCAGAGTAGGCGTGGGTAGCATTGCACCGAAAGGACAGGAAAGGACAGACGAAAGCGCAAGGAGCACGGGGCAAGGGGAAAGGAAGAGGCAGGAGCAAAGAGAAGAGAAGCTGAGCGGGCGGGCGGGCGGGCACGAACGGCGGGGCGGGAGGGAAGCCGCAGCGAAGAGAGGGCGAAGGGGGTCGAAGCCCCGCAGCAAAGCGACGTGGGCCGGAGCAGCGGAAGCCCAGGCCGGCACATGGGCACGAAGGCCCCGCGAGGAGCCGAGCGGGCGAGGGCGGCCGGGCTGGGCACCGCCCGCCGCGCCTGCCAGGGGGCGGGCCGCGCGGGGCGGTCCCGCGAGGCGCCTCCGCCCCTGGAGGGCCGGGCCGGGCCGGCCGGGCCAGGCTGGACGGGGCGGTCAGACGGGCCGCCGCGCCTCCCGCGCCGAGACTGCCAGGAGGACGCCGCGCCCGCGGCTCCGTGCTCGCTCCAGTGACCTCCGCTCCCGGCCGCCGCCGCCTCGCCGCCTCGCCGCGCCGCGCCGCGCCTCGCCGGCATGGAGCTCGGCTGGCTGCTGTGGGGGGCGCCGCTGCTGCTGCTGCTCGTGCTGCTGGCGGCGCCGCTGCTGCAGCTGAGCCCGCGCGCCCGGTTCCGGGCGAAGGTCGCCTCCTACTGCGCCCTGTGCCTGCTCTCCTCCGCGCTCACCGCGCCCGCCTGCCTGCTCTGGAACCGCGGGCGCACCGTGCACAACATGACGTGAGCCTCCCCGCTCCCGGGCGCCGGGGCGCGTGCCCCGCTGCGACGCGGGCTCGGCGTCTCACTGGGCGGACAGCGCCGGGTGGGGGGCTTCGCGCGGGGGGCGTGCGCGCGGCGGGCCGAAACCCCCGGGCGCCGCTGGCGGGGCTCGCAGCGGGACTGCCGGGTGGGGCGCGCCCGCGCGCCGCGCAGCGCAGCGCAGCGCCGCGCCCCGTCCCTGCCTCGGCCGACGCTCCCAGAGGGCACCGCCCGTGGGGCAGAGGCTCCCGGGGCGGCCACGAAGTTGCGCTCGCCTGCGCCAAAGCGGCCGCGCGAGAAACTCCCCGCGCCCGCCGTCCGGGGGGCAGCAAGCCGAGCGGAGGGCGGCCTTGCGGGTCCTCCTGTCCGGTGCAGGCGTCCCCTTCCCGAATGCTTTCCCCGCTGCCAGCGCCACCCCCTTTCCGCCTCCCTCGTCCCGGCGGGCAGCGACGCCCAGGCAGGCGGCTTTCGCTTTTGCTCGGCCCGCGCGGTCCTCCGCGGCGCCCTCTTCCGTGTTTGCGAGCCTGCCCCTTCCTGGGGAAGAGCCGGGAGAGGGGCTGGCGGCGCTGCCGCTCAGTCGTTTCGGGCCTAGGAGCGCCGCTCGGCCCCTTCCCGGATCGGCGCAAAGCGCTACCCGCTGGAGCGCTCGCGCGGCGGCCGCGGGGGGCCAACGGGTGGCCGTGCTTCCTCCTCCTGCCGCCGAAGCCGCGGTGCCCCACGCCGGGTCCCGAGCCCCTGGCTTCGCGGCTGCACTGGACCCGCCGGGAACGGAGCGCATGACCGGGCGGCGCACCTGCGCGTCGCCTTCCCGTGTGGTCCCCTCCAGGCGGGCTGCGCCCCGGCCCCGGTCGCCCCCCAGCCAGTTTTCCTTGATTAAACTTTCTCCTCTTCAAAGGCCCGCAAGACCCTTCCAAGTTACTATGACGGGGACAGTGTGTAAACAAAACTCTTCCGAACCGGAGTGGTTTTGAGTACAGGGGAAACTTTGTGTCTTTTCTTTGAGACCTCGTTTAGCCTTGCCTACAATATTCACTTAGCGTTGTCCAGGGATTTAGCCGGGCCAGACTCAAAAGTGTGTTGAATTAAGGGTGCAATCCTGCGTTTGGGTATAACTGAAAACCACCCTTCCACTCGGGCAGTTCCCCTCCCGAAGGCTGGAGTCTCAGGGGTCTTTCCCCCCACCTTCATATGGGCAGGGGGCTACTTAGCCACTCCCTATAGAAATAGGGAGGTTCCAGAAACACGTGGCATTCTAACCTTACCTGAGAGCAGGTGTGGCCTGGGAGGGGGAGGTCTTGGAGTGGGGACCCCCAAGTTCCTAGTCCTGTGAAGCTCCCTGGGTGACTTAGGGCCAGTCACTCACTCTCAGCTTAGCCTACCTCACAGGGTGGCGGTTGTGGGGAGAAAATGGAGCTGAGGAGGACTGGCTGCCTCACAGGAGGAAGTAAGGCAGGAGAAAATCCAGGCGTGATGATGCTGCTCCTCCCCATAGTGTGCAAGGGGTGCAGCAGAGAACTTTGAACCCGGCCTGGCAGCGGTGAGCGCACTGCTTGGGCTGTGGGGGCATCAGTGCCGGTGCGGTGGCTTGGGCACCCTCTGAGCAAGACCCCCCCCGGGAGCCCCCTCGCTGAGTGGGCCCGCCTCTTGCCTTCATGGCTGCTGGTGGCTTTTGTTCTTCCTCCTCCTCCTCGTGCCCCCACTTGCCTTCAGGACAGGCTGTCAGCCTGGGGCCGCTGCGCCCCCTGCTCCTGTCTCGCCACATCACTGTCTGGCCAGAGCAAGAGGCAGGAGGAAAACAGGCTGTTCTGGGTAAGAGGAGCAGCAAGTCCCGGGCCGGGGGGGGGAGGGGGGGTCAGACGCCCTGCTGCACCTGCCCTGAGCAGGCTATACATTTAATCAACAGCTCCACACCTTCGCCCACAGTTTTCAAGCATCAGAAAGCCTCTCTTCTGAAGGTGGGAGTTCCGTTGTGTGTAGCATTTCCCATCCATCCAAATTCCAGGGGTGCAAGTGCGTTAGAGCAAGTCCACACATCCCCACCTGTGTGCAGCGAGGGCTGAGCACTCCCCCAGTGGCCATGTGGGTCCATTTCATGTACTCTGTGTGATACTGAGCAGAGCAAGCTGGGACGCGAATCTTTGTTGAGCTTTGAGACTTGAGAACAGCTTGAGCAATTCTTGGCTCCCGTCATGGCCAGCTTTACAAGAGTCCCCTGTGCCCTGCTGCAGTCACACTGCTGGAAACCTCCCTTATTATAAAGGTAGCCACGCTGACCATAAGACAAATTCCAAACTCTACATTAGAGTGTCACCCTTCTTGGGATAACCAGAAGATCCAGCAATACGGAACACACACAGGGATTGCTCTTCATAGTGATATATAAATAGAACAGAGGTGTGTGTATTTTTACAGCAACAGGCCTTTTAAAAAGATGTTTAGATGTGCAGAATAAGAGGACTTGCTTTGTGCTATAAATATAAGACCTGCAACTTCCCGGGTGTGCTTCTGGGGTCTCTAATTTTAGCATCCCAGGAGATAATAAGCAACTGAATGCTCTCTACATAGGTGACTCTTGCTTTATCCGAGTAAGTGGCTTGTGGCATTAATCCTCCAAGGCCCGCCATAATTACTTACACAATTGGAAGGCTTCCTGCTGCTTGCCTGACCCTGCCTGCCTGGAGGAGCTTTAGAGGAAAACTAAGACGGGCGAGGTTCAGCAAACAGTGGATGGCTCAGTTCCAAATCATGCCGGGGTCTCAGTTTCCTGTGGGTCAAAAGAAATTCTGTGGCCTGCCAGGTGGCCTGCCAGCTTCTCCGGGGGAGATTTATGTGGGCTTGTGAGCAAAGGCAAAGGTTTGGTGGGATTATCATGGTGTGGCCTTTGACAACCTTGCAACATCCCTGTCAGTTTATAGGCATGTTGTTGTTGTTGTTGTTGTTGTCAACCCCTGGTCTCTTTATGGGTTGTGAAGAGAGCCTTGCTCACACAACAGCAAGCTGTTCAAAGTGGATCACCGTGCAAGGAGGGAGGATGAGGCAGATCCGTGGCTGAATGCTATAGTCGTCATAGTATATGTAGCGTTTTTGCACATTAAAGCATCTTGGCCTAGTGCGTCAGGGATCCTCTGCAGTGTTTTGCTTGCCATCCTTGCAACAGTCCTTCGCGGGACAGGCCGTTCTTGGCAGCCCCATCGTGCTGGAGAGCAGCCTCGCGGCTAGGGACTGGGTTCCTTTGCCGAGCTGTAGAGCAGAAAGGAAGTTTGGCCTCTGCGGGCCGGTTCTTCATCTCGGCAGCTCTCAGAGAATGCAGAAGGGGACTGCTGCTGCTGTCGGTGAGAGTCCTGTCCAGAGCTGCTCCCCTCCAGCACCTTTCACCCAACATGTGGCCTGCTTCTTAATCAGCAAGCCTCCAGGACTGCCGCTTCCACCCAGTGGCCACAGACAGTTGTCCCAGTGGCTTCCCTGCCCATCCTGATCTGCACTGAGTGGCTGGAGAGTTTCCAGACATAAGCCCATCGTGCCTGAGTGCTCCTTCTCCAGCAAAGCTGGGTGCCTCCCTGTGGTGCCATCTCCAGGCGTGTTGCCAGGAGCAGTTTTGTGTTTGACACTTGGGTTCTCGAGCGAGCAGCCTGCCTTCCAGGAAAAGTGAGCGGTCTGCCTTCCGTGGCAGCCATTCCGCGTGATGCTCACTCTCAGACTTGCAAAGGGGCCGCTAAACCGAAGGCGGTGGAGGGTCCCCAGAAGGAGGAATGGGCCTGGCCTCGGTGCCAGCAGCCCTGCGTGGGTGTCTGAACCCTGACTCAGCAGGGCACCTTGTGAAAGTCAGCAGGGCGGTTGGGGACACTCCTGGCTCTTTAGAACCCTTTAAAGCTCTTTAAAAGGGCCGTTTCTGTCCTTCCCTTTTCTTCTTAGGCAAGCCAGCACAATTCATGCATCTTCTTCCCCCTCTGGTGTCTCATGGCAACAACCCTGTGAGGTAGGTAGGTGAGGCTGAGAACACATGATCGGCTGGAAAGCACCCAAGGAACCGCCTGGCCAAGCAGGGGCTCGACCCTTTGGTCCCCGGCGTCCCCGCGGGGCGCACTAGCCAGGGTGTCCCCAGCAGGCCTTCAGCCCGGCGCACTGGGGGCTGCCTGACCAGCAGCTGTCTGGCTTGGAGGCACGCGCCTGCTCTGGGGGCAGCCTTTGTGCGGGGGGAGGCCTGGCTGGGCCCGTGCCAAGGGCCATGCTCCAGCGGGTGCTCGCCGACCGGAGCTCCTGGGAGTGGCGCCTCTCACGCACTGCCGCTCGCCCAGGTGGCGGGGTGTGAGCTTGCCAAGCGGCAGCCATGCCAGGAAGCGGGGAGGGCAGGAGCGGACGGGAGGATGGCCCTGAGACAGTTGTGCCCAGAGCATGTCATGCGATGAAGTACAAGGGGGAGGACACGGGAGGGCACGGGAAAAGTGCCGTGGCCTTTCAGCAAGCTGGGGGGGAGGCTTGCTGTCCCACCCCCCCCACTGGTGGTGGAGCCCCCCGGGGAAGGCCGCAGGGCCTGCATTCCTCCCTGGAGCCCAGCCAGGGGTTCTTTTCCCCTCCCTTTTGACTGAGCAGAGGCTTGGATCAGGGTCGGGGTTCCCTTTCCCCTCCCAGTCCTGTTCCAGCACTGGAGAGACCCCAGACTGGGTCATGCCAGCGGCACAGGATTGGTGCCCTCAGAACACCTTGCCAGGTTACCCTGGCAGGACAGAGCATGCAGGAGACGCATGCAAGTGAGGAGTCGAACCAGGCGTCTCTTTAAAGCTGCGATTAGTAGCTACCCCTTTACGGAAAAAAAACCTCTTTAGAACTGTAGAGCAGATGCAGAGCAGGTGGAGGGGTATTGCGGTCTGGATAAGGACCCTCGTGCCTCCAGGAGCTGGCCGCTAGCCACCGGCTCTGGGGCCAGTCACCGCTGCATGAGGCCCTTCTGACTAGGCAGGTGGAGAGGTGCAGAGGGCCCGGTGCTCTGCCAGGCCTTCCCGGAGAGCAGCGAGGGCACGGTGCCCCAGGTTGGCAGAACTTTGCCCTCAGGAGCTTGTCATTGGCTTCTCTGGCTGTGTGCGAGACCTGAAGAACCTATGGCACAAATATTTGCGATTGAAACCATGGTGAGTAAGCCTGGGATTCAGCAGCATGGCACCAGTCATAACCAGCAGCGGAGCAGAGTCCAAAAGAGTGCCGTCTTCTTTGCATTCTGATGGGGAAAAATCACCCAGGCTAGATATTTTCCCACTTAGCTGTGTAGGATTGTCCCCCACAGCAGCAAAACTGCTCTTAGAATGGCAGAGATGTAGCTCTGGAGAGGAGAAAGGGGCAAGAAACCTCGCTGGGCAGGTGTGGTGCAGCGTCTGTGCTTCACCACAGGGGTGGAGACACCTGGCTTATCTTTACAGCAGATCTTTCATTATCTCCTTGGCTCAGTCCTGGGTGAGGGGGTGCTGCAATCGGGTGGGGAGGCAATCAGGTGGGGACATATTGCAGGGACTGGATGGGTGGAGGGAGTGACAGGAGGATGGAGACCCTGCCCAACTTTTCCCATTTTTTCCCAGCCTAGCTCTGTGCATAAGGGATGGATTTCTTTGTTTGATTCTTTGCCTCTCTACCCAAAGACACTCCAAAAGACCAGCAGTAATAGAACCATGATAAAAGTAGTCAATAGAATAAGAACCAACTGACTAAAAACAAGATTTGAAAGCGGATGAGAACAGAGTGTGGTGCAGTTGTTCGGGCACTGGGCTGGGTCTTTGCACATCTAAGTTCTGGCCCCTGCCTTGGCCACAAAGCCCACAGCATTGCGGTAAGGATCAAGCAGGGTCAAAGAGGACCTCGTGTGCGGCCGTGGGGCCTGGGTAAGGAAAGGGCAGGCCGTGAAGTGGCGGTGGAGGCGCAGCAACAGCAAAGGCTGGCCGGCGGAGCCCCTTGTTCCATCCCGCCTGCTCCCTCCCCCCCACGCCCAGGTGGCCCAGGAGCTCCACGCTCTGGGTGTGCGTCTGACTTCTTGCCTGGAGCGGAAGGCGGCACCTGCGAGCACGCCTGCTGCGGAGCCTGATGGGCTGGTTTTCCTCCTTGCCCTGCCACATTTGGACTGCCTTTTGCTTTTGCATGGGGGGAGGATGGGCGAAGAAGTGTGCCGCAGATGAGAGGAGCCATAGTGGACAGCTCAGAATTCTCTCTCTCTACCTCCCCCCCCACCCCCCCCCCCGTGTGTGTGTGTGTGTGTGCTGGTTCCGATTCAACATGCAGTCCCACACAGTTTTTATCACATTCCAGCCGAGTGCTTCCATCAGAGCAACATACTTCCTTGCCATCTTGTTGTTCAGATAAGCCACCTGCGAGGTGGGCTTGCTTGAAAGCCCCAAGGCCCCCGGGTGCCTTTTGTGGTCTGAGTCTGATGCTATAGTCTAGCCGTTGCATCACATTCTCTCTCTGGGGAAGAGCCTAAGAGCCTGGGGAGTTTTCAGCTTTCAGGCCCCTCCTGTTTTCTCTTCCAGACTTTGCTGAAGCGTTGAAGTGGGCCACGTTCCCTTTCGGAATGGAAGGGGCTGGTTTTGCTCTTCCCTCGCCATCCTTTTCCTTGCATGCGGTGTCCTTTCAGATCCTTTCATAAGCTGACGGCCAACAGGGACAGGTGCATGGCTTATACGCAAGCTGCTTCCATGGACCTTTGGGCTGAGGAGCAGGCTAAGAACACTTCAAGTAACGAGCGAAATAAAGCTTGCACGGGCTGCTTTACGTGCCATTAGATCCTCCCAGGCAGGGCAGTTCTGTGCAGGAAGCGCCTGTTGTCTGATGCTCAAGCGTTCTGCGCTTAGGAGAAAATGTGTCTGCGCAAGTTGCCAGCCTGGCAGTGCAGGAGAAGAGAATAGAGGGGTCCCCCTCGTTCTGCCAAAGGCTCGCTGGCTAGCCGTGCTTCTTGCTCCCCACAGGCGGCTCCTTGCAAACCCACTTGCGGTACCCCAAGAGCCGCCCACGTGTGGGACAAGCCCAGAGGAGTGCCTGGCTTGGAGACTGGGGAGAGCCGTGGGGCAGGCGGTCTTCCTTGAAGGTGTCCCATGCAAAGAAAGGGGGTGGGTTAGGGTTAGCCTCCAGAGAAGCCTTCAGGGCAGCAAAGAACCCAGATAAATGGGTGCCTTTAAAGTGGGTTGGATCCAGTCCAGAGCAGCCCCGAGTTGCAAACCCCCTGCATCCAGGGCTGAGAGAGTGGCCGGGTTTGGATGACACAGTAACCCAACTCAGGCTGAAGGAGTGTGGATTGCTGAACTGTGCATAATAGTTGTTGGAGCCCAGCTGTCCTGCAAGTCATGGCTTGTTAACCACAAGCCACCCAAGATGAGGACCCCAGGTTTGCTCCTGGGCTGTGAATGGAGGGTGGCTCGCCCTGATTTGCTCTCTTGGCTGGGTCCAGGCAACAGGATCTCCTGCGCTTCCACAGCAGTCCACGTTCGACAAATCCGTCGCCCCCAGGTGAGCGTCACTGGGTGGGGAGACCTCTCCTTCAGCCATGAACCTCAGTGGGGGACTTTAGGCCAGACGCTGACTTGGCCTGCCCACCTCGCAGGGTCGCTGTTGTGAGGATGAAAAGGGGAAAAGGAGGGAGACTTATGCACATCATGTCTTGGTGCTGTTGCGTCCTCATCCGTCGGGTGTCTGGCAGCCTCAGGGTTCGCTCTTCATGAGCCGGGGGTCCTCGCCCCTTCCGAGAGGGCCCGCTCAGTTCACGAGTCAACCAGGAAGCAGCTGGGCTGTTCCCAGGAGGATGCTGGCGGGGAGGCAAGGGGAACCCTTCACAGCTGAGTGTGGGTTTCCTGTATCTTTTGGTCCCTCCTTTCCCTGACTGATTCCTCTCTTCTCCTGGCAGGATTATCAAAAATGTGGTTCGAACCTTCAAGTACCTCTACGGCGTGAGGTTTGAGGTGAAGGGTCTGGAGAACTTCGAGATGGAGGGGCCGTGTGTCATCATCTCAAACCACCAGAGCATCCTGGACATGATGGGTGAGCGGCCAGGAAGGTGCCCAGGGGCCTCGGGCTTCTGGGCTCAAGGACTAGGGCAGGACGAGCAGCCGCTTTGCCCTGGAACCAGACTGGGCCCCTGCTGGGGTGGAGCCCCGCATGCAAGCACACACAGGTGTGCTCAGCCTCTCACAGGTGCACAGCCGTTCTGGCGCACTATCCTCAGCTGGTGCTCCTCCCTTCACCAGTCAAAGGCATGGACTTCTTGCAAAACGTTCTTTAGTGACCAAAGCGTTTTCCAGAAGCACAAACACACAGAAGGGATCTCTGAGCATGTCCAGAGCAGTTTCTGCTTCTAGGAACACCCTCTGAGTTTGTTTGGGCCCCAAACAAGGATCCTTTGGGAAGGATCCTTTTGGGAAGGATCCTTTTGGGAAGAAGCACGCCTCCTCTCTGTGGGTGGGTCCTCTGGCTGGGGTGCCCTCTCTGCCAGTGCTGTGCATGGGGGTGAGAGCCATATCCAGAGCCTGAAAAATCCAGAGCCCTGTTCCACCCCCTGAAGACCCCTTGCATGCTGCAAGTCCCCCCCCAGTGCCCCAGAACCAGTATCGGTGCCAAGGGGTGGGGGGGCACCTTGCTAGAGGAGCAAGCTCTGCAAAGCGAGCCCCTGCATGTGTGTTAGTCCCCGCCTGTCCCCGCCTGTCCTCAGGGCTGATGGAAGTCCTTCCAGAGCGCTGTGTCCAGATCGCGAAGCGGGAGCTGCTTTACATGGGGTCAGTCGGCCTCATCATGTACCTGGGAGGCGTCATCTTCATCGACCGCAAGAGCACAAGCAACGCCAAGTCGGTGATGACCGACGTTGGGCAAGCGATGATCCGGGACAATGTGAGCACACACCGGTGGGGAGGGGGGGTTAGGGGGCTGGGTTCCCATCACATGTGCCCCCAACTCCTTGGCCATCGAGCTTCACCAGTTCCCCAGGTGTGCAACTGGAACTTTATTGTGCTCCCAGGGACAAATGTGTTATTTAGACTCCACCCCATTCTTAGTTTCTTGTTGCTCAGCCTCGTCCAGAGGCGCAAAGGCCACACCGGAACACACTTAATGGAAAGGGCTGAGGAAGGCAGGCCAGTCCGGTGCAGTGAGGAGTCTCGTGCTCTCCCCACAGGTGAAAGTCTGGATCTATCCCGAGGGCACAAGGAACGGGGACGGGGACCTGCTGCCCTTCAAGAAGGGAGCCTTTCATCTTGCCATTCAGACGCAGGTAACGAACATGGCCAGGAGGGCACCGTGGGAGCGCTGCTGCCGTCTTCCTGGGAGAATCAGACTTTCCCAAAGGCAGGGGCCAGTTGTAAGAGCAGAGGCACCATGGCGTCCGCTTCGGAGTGGAAAGCATGCCCCTCGCATCGCAGCAGATGCTCTGTCCGCTGCTCAAACCCGGCCAGTTTTGTCTCTGCTGGGGGCATGGAGCCTTTCCAGGGAATGTGGCTTTGGAGAAGCTCTGGGGTGTGCAGTCAGCTGTAAGGTGGGACCAAGGTGCCAGAGGCAGAAGGGCAGCACCCCAGACCGCATGGGTCAGGGTGCTCTCTTACTCTCAGTAATCAGCCCTGGGGAACAGTTTCAGCCTTGTGAAGAGGAAAAAGTGCACAGAGGTGGGAGGCCAACCGGTGAGTGCCGGGAAGGCTGAGAGGGATGGTGTGGCGTGGTGCCCCGCAAGAGCAGCGAGTGGCCCAACGGCCCCCCCAGCCCTCCAACTCCACTGTTCTGTGATACAAGAGGGGAGCGTGGCCCCTGGGGCTCGGCGGTCCAGAAGAGGTGCGTGTCCAAGCAGCTAAGGAGGCAGAGATTTGTGTCAGCAGAAGGAAAACAGGCTTCCCCAGCCCTGCACCACTCGGGCGTGTTGGGCTAGAAGGCTGGCCTTCCCCAGGGCCCCCAGGCGGAAGGCTGGTTTGTTGCCCATTTTTGTAACGCTGCGCAAGCTGCCTCGATGGGGAATCTTAAGCAAATGAAAGCGCTGGGCTGGTGGAAGCCACAGCGGCAAGGAGGCCCTTTGGGTGAGGTGCGTGACTAACCTTCCTCTGGTCTCTTTTTCCAAGGTTCCAGTTATTCCTGTGGTATATTCCTCTTTTTCCTCATTTTACAACCCAGAGAAGAATCTATTTACATCTGGTATGTAAGACTGGATGCTTTGCCCTCTCCCTTGTGGCTTAGTATTGAAAAGCTCCCCCCGCAACACACACACACACACGCCCCGAAAGTGAGTCTATTGGCCCCACAGTGCCACCTGTACATGAAGCAGAGCAACCCATCCCTCCCCAGGGACATCAGTGAAATCTGCAATGGGTTCCAATGAGTCCCATTAACTTGTGGACCAGTTCCCCCCTCCCCTTTCTCTACCTATTGTAACACTTGTGCATCCTTAAAACTAATTCAGTTTTGTTGATAAGCGAATGATGGACTGAAAGGCACCTGGAAACCTGCAGCGCACAGATACTAAAGCGTGCAACGAGACCTGTGCCTCAGTACGCCCCACTGCCACCCGTGTCCCCAAAGCTGCGGGGGCGCCCCGTTGGGAAGCCTCTTGTCCAGTGCAAGCTAACCAACTGTGCCACAGCCTTGTTGTGCTGCAGTGCAGGGAGGAGGAAGGAGGGCCATGCCAGGCGTGAGAAGAGCTTCCACGTGGCTGCCCTGTGTTCCTGGTGCGGCTGGATGGTTGTTCAGTTGGCCAATAAAATGCGTCTCCATCGGGGTGCAGAAGCTCTTCCATCCCGAGGGCCGAATTCCATGGCAGAGAAGGTCCCAGGGCCACTTTCTGGGAAGCACAGAGCAAACACTGTTGAGCTGAAATAGGCCCAGTTTAGCTTGAAGCTTGTACTTTGCCTGGGCCTTTGGAGAAGCATCTCAGCCTTTCAAATGGAGAAAAGGCTGCACAAGACCTAGAAAACTGCCCATGATCTGGGGCTGGGACTGTGGTCTCCAGGAGGTGGATTTGTCCCCTGGGGGGAGAGTGGGCCCTCAAGCCCTCAGCTGTGCATGCCGTCCTGCCTGCTGCAGATGGGTGAGGTCAGTTCAGCATCTTCTCTTCCCCACCAGGCAAAATTCAGGTGGAGGTCCTGCCGCCTGTGCCGACCCAGGGCCTGATGGCCAAGGATGCTGATGAGCTGACCAACCGGTGCTACACCACCATGAGGGACACCTTCTTCAGGCTGTCGGGAAGGACCAGTGTGGTCAACGGAGGGGCTTCCAGCGCCGCCGAGTGATGCCTCTTGGCAGAAAGGCGTCGGGCACGGACCTTCCAATCGAAAGGACTTTCTCGCACCTGTTTTTTCTTGCCAAATACACCACGGCCTCTCCTTTGCTTTAGGTCATGGGGGAAAACTCATAACTTGTTCCTAAACTGCAATGGGACGGTGAGGATGGGGACTCCTGCGGAGCTCCTTCCAGCCCGTGGCCTGCCCAGCGCTTTCCCTGCCTGCCACTGCCTTTCCACCCCCAAAGCAGCCTCTGCCAAAGAAGAGACGCGCTCCGTGCCAGCCGCCTGGTCCTCTGCAGCTCCTCCACCTGGACAAAGCCCCCTTTGAGGGTCTGGAACTGCCATGAGGGGTCCAGGCGGACCCTCTCCTCCTCTTTTGCTAACTGGAAGGGAACTGGTGGTCGGATCCCCAATTGCACCGGCAGGTTTGGCCAGTCTTGTGGCTGCCGGCTCTCTGGGAACTTTCAGGTCCCTTTAAGGACAGAAATCAGAGTTTGTTGTTTCCAAAATGGTGTGAGAAATATATTGTACTACCTGTGGAAAAGCAAAGGGCTTTACCACTCACAGGGTTTGGGGTTTTTTACTTAGAAAAGCATCATCCGTAGGTCGGAGTTCCAACCATTTCTGAGCAGTTACGTGTTCAGAGAGGAGTTCTGTGTGGATCTAGGAGCTATTGTCTGTGGCTGGCATTCCAGGCTTTTGAGAGCAGAGGTGTGCAGATGCGCTCGCCCTGCTGGGGAAGGGCCACGAGGAGAGCTCCCTCTGACACACTCGGATGCATGCTTAAGCAGGAGCAGGTCTCAGCAGTCAGGTTGTGCTCTTGCTTCGCTTCGGTTACCCACGACTTTTATGCCTCCAGGAGGTTGATCCAGAAGCCGGAGCACAATCTCCGTCCAGCAGTGTTATGTGCTCCATGCAACTTTCAGGACTACCAGCTCCAAATTGGTATCCAGGGAGGTCTAAAGTGTGGACAGATTCACTCTCTCTGCTGACTTATTTGAGATCACTGTTAAAGTTGTCCTGAGAAGCAGTTATTTCAAAATAGGAACAGATATTCCTCTGGGAGGTTGCTTTGCATGGAAAACCATGAGGATGGGACCATTCCCACGTTTTTGAAGCAAAGATGTAAAAATTGGCATCCCTGGAGTGACATGCCAGTGACACCCCTGATGGTGGGAGGTGGTATTACAGCAGCAGCACATGGCAGGCTTAGATTTTTGGAACAAACTCTCTGTTCCCTCTGCCACAGGAATGGGAGAAGGAAACAGACCCCCTATAAACAACTGCATGGCCCTCGAAACACCACACAGAACTTCCGTTCCCTGGACCAATCTGAAGCTCCAGCTCTCACAATCCAGACAGCTGGCTCAGGGGCATGATGGGAATTGGAGTCCCAAGACATCTGGAGGCTGCCAGATTGCAGGCCACTGCGGCAGCCCTGTTTTTTGAACAGACATTATGGAAGCAAAGCCGCCTCCTTTGGCAAGAGAGGATGGAGGAGCGGGGCAAGTGCCGCCTGGCCCAGTGGCCGGCCCTCCAGAACGCCTAGCTCAGGAAGGTTCGGCCTCCGACTAGGAGAGCTGGAGAGAGGCAGGGAGCACCGAGAAATCGACCGTCCCGGTGGCAGCTGTGCTGAATCGTGGCCCGCAAGTGCCACTGGGGGCGCCTGCGCAGACCCTCTGCGTAGGAGGGCAACACTTGCCCCCCAAAGTGCCTTTTTGCAAAACTCCGTTGCTTACTGTTGGTGGTTAATATTTTCGAGAGATGATTGTGTGAGTGAAATTGACTTTTATAAAGCAACTGTATTTAAAGAGAAGCACTGTTTAGCCAGCTGTGTGTTGTTTTTGGCTTTTTGCATGAGGAATTTTGCTGCAGAAAAAGTAGGAAAAGAAACCAAACAATGCCCACCATCCCTATCTGTTTACTGCTTGGGCCAAATAGACAGTGAGCATCAAAGGGGCTAATGGTTCATCAGGTCTCCTCGCTTGAGGTCTCTCTGCCAGCATCCAGCAGAGCCCACTGCCTGCAGCCATGTCGTCGCTCTGCATGGAACCTTCAGGGCTAGGAACTTGATTTAGGGTGTCTCCAGCTTGAGTCCATCAAACTGCCCCCCCCCATGCCATTTACTCCACAGCCCTAAGCAGGTATACTCGGAAGCCAGGAGCAGTCTGTTTAGTGCATACAGGATTATGGCCACCCTGTAGTAAATTACTCAGGTTAATCATGCCCCCTCTGAGGTGTGCCCGTGACCTTCTCTTCCACTTGTCCTGGAAGTGATCAAAAATTTACAATTTGGGGCTTCTGCTACAGGGCAGGCGACTTGTGCTTCCCAGGAGGCTTTGGATGGTGATACCTCTGGCCCTGCTGATGGGACTTGTTGGCCGAAATAACTGGAAAACTGGCTGGTCCACCCTGCTCTTCTGGATGGGGGGGGGTGTGGCTGGGCTGGGCAGGGGGGAAGGACACAACACTGCTCCTTATGATGGATTTCAAAAGGAATCGAGGGCAATGCAATCCTAAAACTAAGCTGGATCTCCCTGTTGCACCAAGATGAGGCATTAGTTTCTTTTCTCATCGATTACAATTTATTGAGACATCTTTTAAAAGAACAACCACCCGAAGGTGCTGAGGTCGCTGGGTCTCTGAGGGGGTAATTGTACCCTTCCGTTATGTTCTCTCCGTGCCAGCCTTCCTGGCAGGCGATGCATTAGGCTCCCGCTCTCGGCCCCCTGGGGGGGCACACCGGGGGTTGTGGTCCAACCCACTGAGGGGCACCTTCTTCCCACAGGGGCCCTCTCATCCCCATGTCTGGGGTCCCTGGGTGGAAGCAAACTGCACAGCATGTCATGCCACCTTTTCTGCGATCGGAAAGGGAATCCTGACAGATGCTGGAAAGGTGTGTTTACAGGGCTGCCAATCTGAAGCCTTGTGGCCTTTTCCCACGGAATGGCCCCAGAGGCTGTCCCACAGCCCTTGCTGAACAGCAACTGCCAGGATTCCGTGGGGAAAGCCACAGCTTCGGAACCTGCCGAAAACTGCTTGCGGAGAGGCCTCTGCCCACAAAACATGAAGGGGGTTTTGCCCCCATGCAGCAGTTTGGCCAGCAGCCCTCCGTGGAGCGAGAGCGTCTGCCTGGCGGGGAGCCTCTTGCCTGGACTGGCGCAGCATCCCGCCTCGTGTGGCTCAAATGCCGGGGCTCAAGTTCCGCCCTGGGTGGGGATTCCGTGGCTGCGCTTAGGACAGGCGCCAGGCGTGTGCTGCAGCGCAGCTGAATCGGTGGGGGAAAGGGGGCACGGGTCCTTCTCTTCCGTCTTCCATCTTGCTTCCTCCTTCCTCAGCGTTCCTTCTTGCAAGAGCCTGTGCGGAGATTACAAAGGCATCAGTGCCACCCGGCCAGGCTGGCTCACCACCAGTTTATGGCCACGCGTGGCCAGGTGCTCTGTGTGTCCGACTCGCAAAGTTCTAGTCCTCATGGTTCTGAATAAGGGAGCTTGAGCAAGGAACACAGGGAGCCGCCTTGCATCACAGAAGCAGCTCGGTCTGTCTAGCCCATTACCAACCAGCCACTGCAGCTTTCCGGGGTTCCAGGCACAAGTTTTCCCAGCCGTTCCTGGAGGTCGAAGCGGGGCCTCCACCCCAGCCAGAGCCCTTCCCGGCCGAGGTGGCGTGAGGAGAAGGAAGGTGGGTGGAGCGAGAGGAGGCTCCGCTCTGCTCCCGCACTTACACGTCTCCAGCTGCCCCTCCAGGAAGGAGACCTGCTCGCTGAGCGACTCCACGCGGTCCAGCTGCTGCAGCGCGTGCACGAGCAGGCTAGCGGGGTCCCTGGGCGAGCCCTCCGTGCCCGCGGCGTCCAGCTCGAGGAACGGGGCCAGTGCACGCCGGCATGTCTGTCGAGGAGGGAGACGGCCACAAGGGTGACCCAGGAGGGCAGCGGGGGTCTTCTCCAGTGGGGTGGAGCAGCGGCTGGGCCGGGGGGGTTCACTGTGCCCACCATGGGAGCGCTCCAGAGCCCCTCTGTCAGGCAGGGCCCCACACTCCCGCCTCCCCCAATCCCACAGCACCCCAAAACACTGTTCTTCCCACCTGGCAATTAGGCGTGGGGCGGGGGTGTCTCCAGCCACCCTGGTGCAGAGGGACCAGGGGAGGTGCGCAACCTGACTCGGAGGCCCGGCCCACCTGGAGGGCACCAGGCTGCGAGGCAAACTGGCTCGCCGGTCGGAGCAGCACCACCCGCCCAGTACTCACGTCCTCCAGAGCTGCCATCCTGGTCCTCAGGTCCGCCACCTCGTCCCTCACCGGCGGGTCAGAGCTTCTGGCTGCACAAATTCATGGCAAACAAACGGGAACAGGAGTGAGGCCAGCGCGGGGTCAGGATGGCTGCCCGGCCGAGCCGAGAGCCCACGCCTGGCCCACGCACATGAGGGGACAGACCCTTCTCAGCTGGAGAGCTGGTCAAAGCTGCACTGCTTGAGTGGCCGGACCACATTTTCTTCTTGTAGCCCAAAGCTATTGTGGTGTGTAGATAGACAAAAGGGAAAAGTAAAGACAAAAAGGGTGCCCCCCGACACCTTAGGTCTTTTTATGAACCCTCGATCTGGTTTCCTCTCAATGCCCCAGTGTCATTTCCTTAAATATGAATTGGTTTAGAAGCATTTTATACCTATGTGCAAAAGCAAATACCCTCAATCGGTGTTCATGCAGATATTGCAACTAAAGGTACGAAGAGCTGGATATGAAAGATTGAAGCCAAACCTTGTAAAAGTTTTGTTGATTTTTATGTTTGTTATTTGAACATAAAATGACTGAATGTAAGGGCTGAAGAAAGTGAAGTAAAATGCTGTAAATTTTTAAAAGTGGTTTACCAAAGGAAAGAGAGACTAATTAAGAAAGAATGCTGTATCGAAACATAGAAACAGCAAGTCAGAAGGGGTCTCCTGGGCACATCTAGTCTAACCCTCAGCTCCAGCCAGCTCCACTCATGCCATGCCTAGCAAGCCTCAAGACCAAAATATGTTTAAAGAATGTTAAGAAATTGTACAAAAATAATGAATAAGACGTTGGTCTTAGATATAAATGTTTCAAGATGAGTTAAGCAACTGCTAAAAAGCATTGTAGAAATGGTTATTACAATAATATGAATATTTATTATAATAATAATACTGAATAATGATTGTGATGGTGCATTTTTGCAGGTGTTGTGCAGCTGCATTGCAGAAAAGTGCAAAATGTGTTACACAAGTCAAAACAGCAGGTGCTGTACAAAAGGCTGCAGGAGTGAAGTAGCTTGTGAGTGTCAAGACGGGGAAGCTCAAAGAACTTTCAAAGTGGGAGCAACTCAAGCACAAGATTAAGAAAAAGGCTGAAGAGAGCGTCAGTCTGGGCAGAGAAAATGTTAATGCACGCAAAAGGTTGCTGTGGCACAGCAGTGAGGAAAAAAGTTGGGGTCCTGGTGGAGAGCGACGGAACGGCAGTCGGAACGAAACGTTCTCTGTGCACCAGTCGAAACAGTAACTGTGCCTTGTGTGCCAAGGCACACGCATCCTTGTGTCCCAGAACGCATGAACAGCCGTGCCTTTTGCCACCATCGGTCAGCAAGAGGCATGAGCAGCCCCTGTGGTTAAGCTTTCAACCAAGCGGGAGGAGGAGGCATGCCGAGAGTGTCGGATTAAAACCGTGGGTGGTTGTTAACGTCCTCATGCAATGAATCCCTTGTGTGCGAGACAAAAATGCTCCACATGGGTAGGTTCGTGTGGCCGACAAACCAGGGACTCAAGCCGGAGAGAGGCCTCCAGTCTCTCCCCAGCACTGCTTCCAGCCTCCCAGGGGATGTACGGAAAGGCACTTATTGGCTAAAAAACCACCAAGGAGCAACATAAAAACCCAAACAGAGCAAAGCACCATGCCAGAAAAGAGACCCCCCAGAATCAGTGTGGCAGGTGGGCCCTTTCCTGAGGCGCTGACTCCGGTGGCCGGGGGCAGGCCACGCAAGACTCCCTGCTTCTGCACTGGTCCATGGCTCCGCCAGGTCCTTCTAGCGCAGGGGCTGCCCGCAGCGCATTATTACTCACGGTACGAGTTTGATGTGGCACAGCGCGTACCAAAAGTAATAATGGGCCGCAGCCAGCGCGGGCAGGTGCTCCTCCGGTGGGACCCTGGCTCCAGCCGGCGCCGCAGGGGTGAGCTGCAGGCCCATGCAAGGCGGGCGGGCGGGCGGCGGGCGGGTGGGCAGCTCTCCGGCGCAGCAGGGGGCAGGTGCCTGCCAAGGAAGCGGCCCCAGCTCTGACCCCACGAGGGCGCCTCCCCTGCGCACGAGTCCCACCCCGCGCTGTGCCCATCTTCCGCAAACAAGGTGCTCCCCGACCGATGCTGACCTTACCCGGGGCACTGGTGGCGGTGCTCTTGGGGGGCGCTTCCAGGGCCCGGCACGTTTTCCCGTCCTCCAGGAGCGTGTGCCCTTGCCGGCAGGTGCAGCGGTAGCTGCCGGCCACGTTGAAGCAGAGCTGGCTGCAGCCGTGTCTCCCTCTGGCACACTCATCCACGTCTGAAAACCCACGCAAGGAAGAGGCCTTTAGGGACAGACCTCCGTGCTTGTCGGAAAAAGCAGGATGGAGCCCATGTTCATGCTTCCAGGGCCATGCCAAGGCAGCAGGGCAGGCCCCCACCCCTGACTGATTTGGGGGCCCTGCTCCAAGGTCCGCTGGAGAGGTCGGTTCCCACGCGAGCTGCAGGGGAATTGCAAGCCCACCTCATTCCACCCTGGAGTGGCCGAGCACGGGCAGCGTGAGCTCAGCATGTCCTGCAGCCCAGCCAGGCTGGACGCTGCTCCCCATGTCTGTTTCCAGCCAGACCTCACAGCTTGGCTCACCAACCTTGCAGGGTTGTTGTGAGGATGAAGTGGAGAGCAGGGGCCCAGGTAAGCTGCCTGGGGATCCTTGCAGGAGGGAAAAGGTGAGATGAAAGTGCAACAATAAATATTTGAGAAACGACACCTCTGTCAGCATGGCAAAGCAAGGGCCGCTACCTGTTTGGCAACACCGTCCTGTCCATCCAGGAGGGCAGAGGCACTTGTGGGGGAGCAGACACGTGCCCCCGTTTCGACACACGGGCCGGCAGATCGCTGCAAGACAAGGTTACCGTGATGCCATAATGCATTGGACAGTTTCCATGACTCTGTTTCACTGCAGAAATGCTCCTTCAGAAAAGAGTTGCATCACAAAATGGGTGACAACATTGGGACCACATCCTATGCAAGCGGGGAAAGAAGCCAAATGCAGAAGGAACAGTTCCGTGCAATGCAATTTGCAGTCCCTTGCTGAGCGATACTCTGTTTCGCTCAAGCATAAAGAGCAAGGAATTAAATCAAATGAAACAAAATCAGGGAAGCCTGAAAACATCAGCACGTGAGAACCAAGAGTTAAACAAATAAGTTTTTGTTTGTTCATGTTGCTGTTGTACAAAAGTATCAACGTGAAGCTTTGTTTGAAGGACATCTGAGAATAAAGCAACCCTTGAAAATGAAGAATTACCACGCAAAAGAACCGGCCAAAATAGTGCACGTACAAAGTGTGCTCATTTCTCTTTAAAAGACACATAAAACATCTAAAGCTTTAAGTCAAAAAGAGCACAATTTTAAAGATGGTCTTGAAAAGAGATTGTATTTCATAATCAGCTGGACATGGCATTTCATGTGATTAGGTTCTACTTCACCTTCTGATTTGTTCTGAACTGCTTACAAGGAAATAAATCATACCCCATCTTCACATCAGTCTTTTCCAATGCACTTAATTCCACTTGGGAGAAAGCTAGTTGGTAAAGCCAAATTTGGGCAGCTTTTTCCATTCTACCCTTCAGGAATCTGCACTTAATATTTGTTTCTTGTTTGTTGGTGGGACACGATTTTGAACTTCTGAAGAAGAGCTCGAATCTGTTTAGCCAAACACATTCTTCTGTTCTACCAGCTTTGCATGGTTAGAATGGTCCTTAGGTTGAAAGAGTGAAGCACTGGGGCCAACTTCTGCATCTTCAGAGTATCGTATTGGTCCAATTCTAGCCAGAGACCATGCTAGGGGGCACCCAGCAGCCCCCATGGGAGGAAATCTACACGCTACACTCCCGCGAGGGCGAGGGTCAGACACACAATTGTCTGAGGGAACTGGGTCCCTTCAGCCCGGAGAAGAGGAGACTCGGAGGGGATATGTTGGCAACATACAGGTATGTGAGGGGGTGCCACATGGAGTTGGGTAGAGACCTGTTCTCCCCTGCAGAGGAAGGCAGGAAGCGCTCCAACTGAGCAAAGCTCAGGGAACCAAGGATCCATTTGGATGCCAGGAAGCACTTCCTGACGGTTAGGACCCCGAGGGTGTGGAATGGGCTTCCCCGGGAGGTTGTTGAGGCCCCATCAGTGAGAGTGTTCGAAGACAGGCTGGACATGCACATGGTGGGCATGTCATGAGTGGAGCCGGCTGGTGCCGGAGGTCAGACTAGATGGCCCAGGAGGCCCCTTCTGACTTGCTCTGTTTATAGAAACTATGTTTCTATGTGTTCTCCGGCCTCCTAATTTCCCCTAACTTCACACCGTGTGGATTGCACTGCCATGCGCTAGTCCAGTGGTCCCAAGCTTTTTTCACTTGTGTAGCCCTCAGCTTCCCATTCCCATAAATTGTACCCTTCATATTAGCAAAATATTTCTAATATAGTTGCTGTTTTCCCCCATTATTCAATTTTTATTTTATTTAATTTATTTGCATACTTCTAAATGCCCTAGTTTGTACCCCTGGGGGTAGCATAGCCCAGGCTGGGAATCACTGTGCTAGTTAAAGAAACCTGCCAGCTAGTGGCTGAAGTTGTTATTGCAAGCTTCAGCCATCTGTGCACTTACAGTAATTAAAATTAATTAATGCATTTTAAGAACAACTTAAGCCCAGGGTACATACCCGCTAAGGTTCCTTGGTATGCCTGCCAAGTTTCAGATGTCTAGATTTCATGATCTTTGCGCTATGGCACTGTTGGATGGACAGACAGACAGACTTCTTTCATTATTATACATATCGCCAAAAGACTTGCCTTCATTGCATCCAAACTGGGATGGGCTTTTTGTCCATTTCCACCCAGGACAACAAGCCAGCTGAGAAACCTTCTGGTACACCTGGCGCTGGGCAACTCTGTAGGTAGTTCTGCACACAACACAAGAGAAGGTCGATTCAGCGACGTTCCTGAATGTCCAGGCCCTCTTGTGCAACTGTGCCAATTCGCCTCAGTTAATCTGCATTAGTATAAATGCTGCTAACGAATGTGGATCATTGCATGGGCTCAAGTGCACACGCGCGCTCCTGCACACAAACACTAGTGAGCACAAATCAAATGAGATTCTGCTTTAAAAATCTGATTCCATTGATAAGCAGGAGAAAGAACAAAAGATGCCAGACCAGCTTTGGAAAGACAAAGTTGGAATTGAAATTGCTCTGTACCTGTATGTGCTGCAAAGCCTGTGCCCCTCGCATATGGTAAGGTACGGCTGATAAACCGGCTGGGCGTGGGACACGAGGGAAGACACGGTGTGGCCTTTCACTTCCACGGAGCATCCGCCGTACCTGCCAACGGCAGCACCAAACTGCGTCAGGCAGCGCCACACAGACCCCGACCTGACCGTGGCCTGCTCAGCATGGCCAGCCTCGAGGCTCGGCCTTCTGCCCACGAGATGGCCAGGAAGCTTCCAGATGAGGCAAACAAAGGAACCCATCATCCCCACCAGCACAGCTGGCACTGTCAGCAGTAGGTGGAATGAGCCAGACTCATATCCCATCATCTCCACCACACCCTGAGGCCAAAGCAGTTTTTAAAAGATTTCAGAGTTGTTCCAGAGAAGGTTTCTAATAGTTTTCAGATTTGGTTTTTAACATTGTTCCCCATTTTTTTACATTTTCAGAATGCTTTTGCTTTTATAATGTTCAGATTTTTAAAAAGTTCTTCTTTAAAAAGGTTTCAGGGTTTTTTTGTGTTTTAAGTTTTCAGGTCTGTTTAAGTTTTCAGATTTTTTAAGGTTTCCAGAGTGTGTTAAGTTTTCAGATGTGTTTTGATGAGTTCTCAGGCTTGTTTGAAGTTTCAGTTTCGAGTCCTTCTGGGGTCCCTGTTCGGGCTGAGAGGAGACTCATCAATGTTGTGATCAAGACATGCAAATGAGGACACTCTGATACCTTAAGCAGGACACTGGGATGCAGCTTGTGCCTGGGGAGGATCTGCCCTCTTGTTCCCGCTTGGACATTGGTCAAGAGAAACAAGATTTTGCAAGAAATGATGAGACTGATTTCACTGATGAAGAGGAGGAAGATAGTGACTTCTATCAAATTTGGAATTACTTTTTTTTTTTAATTGGCTGGAGAAATGGGACTAGGTTCTGATCTAAAGATGTTTTCAAGTTATTATAAATGGATTTTAGTATGATCATAGAATGTTAAAAGATATGTAGTAGGGGGCTGACCCAGTAAATCCGATGTGTGTGACGATTGATATTTGTAGTATTAGTTTGAAATCCTAATAAAATTTCTTAAAAAAAAAAGATTTGTATGCCGTCCATTCCTGTCATCTCTGGACGGCTTGCAACATTATTTCAGAATAAAATAAATTAACTATTCCACACTCAGCCTCATATTTATATTTTAAATGAGGCTCAGTGTGGAATAGTTAATTTATTATAAATAAATTATATTAATTTATTTATAAGTCATATCACTAAAATTATATGTTAAAATATTGGCCGAATACAAAGGTCTTGACCTGGGGCCAAAAAACATATAATGACGGTGCCAGGCAGACCTCTAGGGATAATATCCGGTCAAACACAGGAAGGCATGGAACCGGCACGGGTGCATCCAACACATGGTTTGTGAAAAAAAGGCCCTACGAATCCCAGCAGAACCATCGGACTTCTCTCTCTCAAAACGTTCTTATTATTGCACCCAAATCCCAGGTCTGAAATTCCGCAGCCGCCCCAGTGCGCCCACGGGCCGTGGACAAAAGCGCAGGACTTACCGTGGCCTGGAGGAGTGCTCTGCGTGGGTCCCCACGAGTAGGAACAGGAGGACTCCCCCAGCTGCAAGCCAAACGCCCCCCTGCATTTCGTATCCTCTTGGACCGGGCCAGACCGGGCCCTACTCGCCTGTAGTGTGCAGGATGCCTGGGGGGGCCGGGGGGGGCAGGAATCACTGCCACGGCAGCCTGTCCAGGGAGCAGACCTGGAACCAGAAGGAGCAAACCATCTGCAGTCTGACGAACGGGGCTGGCTGCAGAAGGCGTCAGGCCCAGTGGTCACAGTGCAGCTCGCGATGGGCACGGGCGGGGGGTGAAGCCCAGGCAGGACCCCACAGGCTGGGGTGGGGCGGAGGACGGCTTGCACAGAAGCACCTGCCCCATGATCCCTGGAGTCCTGAAGCTCAGACCGCACGTGCCAAGAGAGGATATTTCAGTCTAGAGCTTGTTCTAGCACATCAAGAATGCCGGGCTTCTTATGACTTTTGTTTGTTTTCTGCCTCTCATTTAAAAATAGATGAAGTTGTTCCTCTACTACAATCATGTTTTTATTCATGATTGTCTAGAAGACATCTTTTCACCAAATCACTAAATTTTCACACCTCATATATTTCTTAAATCCAAAATTGCCAACAAACAATTTTCTCCTTCATTTTCGCCATCACTTTTATGAATCGCCTGGGGGACCAAAAGGCAGCTCAGTTTCCCAGAGGCAAGTTCAGAAATATGCTTGGACAACAGGGCTGCGACTGGGAGCACTGGCCACCTGCCTCTGCTTTCCGAAAGCAGGAAAATGGCTGCGGAGAGGGGGGCAAGGGCGTTTCTGAGGGACAGGCTGGGAGACCAGGGGGAAGCGGACCTGGAGCTCCTCAGCCACTCCGCCACACTGTGGCTGCATGGGCAGAAAGGCTGTGGGAACGCCCCAGGCCTCCACCCCCTGCAGCTCAGGGGCAACCCAGTAGGACCGTGTCCTAAATCAGGTCCCCGAGAAACCAGTATGAATATTTGGCTTCATTGCTTTACATTTGCAGAAACAAATAGTGTGTGCCTAGTTTTTGTTCACAACTGTACTTGCTCCTTGTCTTTTCGCAGCAGTTCTAATATGCACACCCTCAAAATAGATGCAATGCACAGAGCACCAAGGACCACTCCTCTAAAGTTCAGAGTAAAAGTCACTGTGGGTAAGGAGCCCCGCTGACACAGGCGTCAGCAGCCTCTACTGCTTGGCGGCAAAATCTGGGGCCCCACAGGGAGCCCCAAATCCAGGGGAAGCTGAGCATTCCTACACCCTCACCCACTGCAGCCATCGTCTGAGTTTTCTAGGAGCTGTCAATGGTGCTGAACTCTGTCTCCAAATGGGTTCACCCCCATGGCTAGCACCCAGAAAGCTCAGCAGAAAAGCTGCAACAGAGAAGCAACCCGCTGAGACAGGCAGCCCCGAATTTCTGTCGTCTTCTTTCCTTTGCAAGGAAACTCAGCATTTGAATCCATGGGAAACGCTTATTGGTTGCGATAGGCCCGGCCCCAAGCACACGCTTCCCAAGCAGCAGCGGCAACCAGCCGGTTCAGCCCATGCATCCGACAGCCATCACATGCTCTGCACACATCACAAGGCCAGGCCATCACATGCCATCACATGCGTGCCCGCAACAAAGGAGGGCTTCTCTCCCATGCGCTGGGAGGAGAGCAGCTCCACTCTCTGGGTGAGTCCCAGAGGGCCCCCTGGCTGGGGCACGGGAGGGGCCCAAAATGCTGCAGCCCTGCCAGGTGGGTGGGGAGCACCACTCTGATGTGTGAACCCCTCCAGCAGAGCCGGACAGGCGGTCTCAGCCCCTGGGGAACGCCACAGCACGTGGTCTGCCAAGCGGATCACCATCCTCCCGTGCCCCAGAAATCCCCACCTGGCCACCTGGGGCTGATGGGGCACCCACACCCTTCCCTGGCCCACCCCTTTTCCAAACCCCCATCACTGGGTGGCTCTCTGCCTCTTCACAGTTCCCCCCTCCCCCTAAAATGTTGAAATGCCTGCTTAAGGCTTAGTTTTATTTTTGGTTTTTTTTTTTCCAATTTATATCCTGCCTTTTTCCTACCAAGGGCTCAAGGCAGCTTACATCATCTCTCCTCCTCCATCTTATCCCCACAACAACAACTCTGTGAGGTGGGTTGGGCTGAGAGTCTGTGACTGGCCCAGAGTCACCCAGTTGGCTCCATGGCCGAGCGGGGACTCGAACCCAGATCGCCTGAGTCCCGGTCCCATGCTCTTAACTACTGAACCACACTGGCTCTGCAGTTGTCAATCCTAAGCTCCTGATCCATACTAGTTGCCAATCCTAAGCTAAAACAGGCCAGTAGCTGCTGGCATTTGGGCACCAGCCCATTGCTCTTCAGCTCCACAAGCCATGGACACGTGACCCCAAAATGGAATCCAGCCCTCAGCCTTGCACAATCAAACATCCTGATTTAAGGGCGGCAAAGGTGCGGCTCCCTGACAGGCACAGGACCAAAGTCCTGGTCGGAGAGCAGCAAAGATGACGGTACTCCAGCGCTGGCCAAGGGAAGAGGCACGCAAGCCCACCCCTCAGCCTCTTAGCAGCAGCAAAACCGCTGCAGATCTTTCTGTTATGGAAAGGTAAGGAACAGGCGCGTGGTCCCCCTGCCATCTCAAGCAGGGCGGCCGCTCCTTAGCCTGCTGTTTAAGTCTCTGCTCGGCCTCAAAAGGCTGACCAGGGCCAGATGCCAGGCTCTTTAAGGAGGGGCTCAGGTCTTTGGTTTGCTTAAATCAGGATGGCTCCCCCTCTTGAAGGGCAACCAATGCCTTTTGATCCCCAAGGGCTTGGGAAGAACACTCAGAACTCCTCAAAGGATTTTCTCCAGAGAGAGGGCAACTCTCAAACGTAAAGGGTTTTTCCTTGCTGCAGAAGGGAGTGAAAGCTGGTCCAAAGCCAGCACCTCGCCAGGACAGGACCCCATCCTGCCACCGTCCATGCATCCGGGGTCGCCGTGAGGGCATCAGGCTGGGAGGAAGATCAGAATGCATCGTTCCCACGGCCACTGGGCAGTTTACAAAAATACACCCTGGGTAGCAAAAAAGCCACCTGCAAGCAAATGTGGGAACGGGCAGCATGCAGAAGCACACGCACCTCTACACACTTCAGAACAAGTGACAGAGAGAAAAGTCCAGGCCTGGATTCAAGCCTCACGGCCTACTCAGTGTTACACAGCTCAGGACCACCAGCCCTTTCCTGGCAACAGCCTGCCGCCCCCGCCCCAGGGGCCTGCTCCAAAGGAGGCCTGGAGGGGCCCATGGATCCAGGGGGCTCATCCTCACAGCATCACACACGCCCTGGGCTGCCGTCCCCCTCCTGGCGACCCTCCTCCACCATGCACACATGCCCCCTCCCCCCTCCCTGAGCCCCTCGCAGGAGGAGAGCCTTGTGCAGGCAGCCCGCCAGAACAGGGCCAGGGCCAGGAGCAGGCACCACGGACGAGGGCTCTAGCAACCGCAAGCAGAACTGAGTGCCTGAGCATCAGAGCATGGAAAATTTCGGCACGCTGCAGAAGGGGGGTGCAGGCATAAGGCGCTGAGGCAAATTTCACAGCAGAATCAAGGTGAAACCTGGAGGGCTGCATCCCAGGGTGTCCCTGGTGCTCTGTTTTGCTTAAAAGAAAGGGGGGAAAGAATGACCTAGAACATGTGGCTATTTAACCCTAAGCAGGCAGAATTCCCCCAGTTCACTCTGTATAAGAAAAATCTCCATCAGAGAAGAGCCACGTCTTATCATGGAAGCAGAGAGCAACTGGCTTCTAACACTGTGCAGAGCCTGGACAGACAAGCCTTCCTGAGCCAGCAGCCTCCAGGCGCACTCCACCACCTGCCTGCCTTCATCCCAGCCCCGGATGGGGCGGCAGAGCACACCTGTAGGACTCTGGGTCATGCGCTTGTTCCCAGGCTCATCCATGGTTGAAGCCTGGCTCGCTCCCCACTAGCCCAGAAGTAGCCACTGAGCCCTCCCACCTGGTACCTGGCCCAGTTACCACGGGCACGCCAGTTTCATTCAGGAAGAAAGCTTGGGTGAACTGCAGCCCATGAGGTCACATACACAAATGGTTTCCGCAGCAGTGAGCATGCGTTGAGAAGAAGGATTGCATTTATGATCACAGACAGAACTGGCAATAAAGTGATTTTTTTTAGTGGTAGGCAGAGAGCCATATCTGCAGGTCTAGGAAGAGATTTACAATGTGCCCCAAGAATGTGGGCGGATGAAGGCATCCTCTCCAGTCTGAAAGGCTGCTCTTGCACAAGCGCCCTCAGCCTATTCCCCCGAAGGGCAGTGACCTGGGCGCCCTCGGAAGGGGCAAGTAAGCTTGCAATTATCACCCAGTTTTAAAAAGTTATTTTAAGAATAAAATCAGAATTGAAGGGCCTTTAGCCTGCCCCGAGGTTTCGGCAAGGGGCGGCATAGAAATGTTATAATAATAATAATAATAATAATAATCCTCCAGCATGCATCCAGCTGTCAGAAAGTTGGCAGATTCAGTCCCCTGACAAGTCTTCACTGTGGCTGCAAACATCAACCAGTTCTGTGAAACTTCAGTCGGTCTGTTGACCAGCCCAACACA